TCTATCTATCTATCTATTTATCTATCTACATACCAACCTACCTATCTATCTATCTATCTATCTATATATCTATCTATCTATCTATCTATCTATCTATCTATCGATCTATCTATCTATCTATCTATCTATCTATCTATCTATCTATCTATCTATCTATCTATCTATCTATCTATCTATCCATCTATCTAGCCATCCATCTACCTATCTGTCTGTTAATATGTGTATTTGTGTATCTCTCAATGAATCGGTCTATGTACCGATCTATCGAACAAAGATACTGAGATGTACAAAATTCGACGCGGGCACTATTGTTGTCGTATACGTTAACACGTTAACATGGCGATATTTGACACTCACCTCGTTTTCCGTCGAGTGGTCTCCCAGCACAGCGCTAATGCAGAGGACGAATGCGAAGAAGCCAGCGAAAATATGAATCTGTTGCATCTTGGTTGCGTAGAGGCGGCGTCGGCGAGAACGATGCTGTGTTTGCTACGGTGTGCTTGAGTGCGTGCGTGGTAGGAAGTGCGTGCGTGTGCGCGGTTCACTCGTCTGTAGCGATGCGAGTTGTCTTCCTGAGTCGGGCTGCACGAGGAGTGTCGGTGACGCTGTGACGGGCTGATCTGCTTTAAGAACTGGAGCCATGCGTCGGCGCGTTTTATAGCGGTGACAGTCGGCGCACTAGCCCACGTGCATGCGCTCCGCTGCGCCGACGGTGCTTCTGCGCACGCCACGCGGCCATAGCGATCTCCCAAACGACGGGGTAGTGGCGGCGTCTTTAATTGCCGTGCCCTTCTGCATCGCTGCTGCTGTTGCTGCTACTGCCGTTTGATTTCATTGTCTGGTCGACGTGGCACCACATGGATTCAGCGAGTGGGAAAGAAGGAGAAGATGAAAGAGCGACGGAGAGAGGAAAAGAAAACGGGAGACAGAGAGCCCGAGAGAGAGATGGAGAGAGAGGGGATGACAGTGGGCCCGAGAGAGAAAGATAGAGAAAGGGAGACAGAGAGCCTGAGAGAGAGAGAGAGAGAGAATTAAAGAGAGAGAGAGAGAGGGAGAGAGTGAGAGAGCGACTAGGGTATATTATACGGGTAATTGGCTCATAGCCTACGCCAGTCCTGGCGGAATACGTGCGTATATGTAATTGCCGGCGGCTTGAAACGCTGATGTTACGATTCTGTTTGTTCGGCTGGCATAGCTTTCCCTAGCGACTCGTGCTGCTATCATACCATCGACCTCTGGGAGAGGCTCATGCGTTTCATTTTTATCTTACGTTCGGAATATACCTTTGATATGTGAGGAAATACAGAATTGTATGTGGCAGCACTGCCCATCAGTATTTTAATAATCATTAGCAATAGACGAATGTGAATTGTGAATGTTTCTGTATCGTAAACCACACCCTGTGATATACACGCACGCACGCACGCATGCAGTACACGCACGCGCACACGTACACGCACGCGCACACGTACACGCACGCGCACACACGTACGGTCGCACGCACGCCCACGTATACACGCACGCGCACAAACGTACGGTGGCACGCACGCCCACGTATACACGCACGCGCACAAACGTACGGTGGCGCGCACGCCCACGTACACGCACGCGCACAAACGCAAGCTCGTCCGCGCGTCTCCATTATGTGATAATGAGAAATAAAAACTTTCGAATGCATATACACCTACATATTTCACATTAACTGTATGCAGAGCGCGTGAAATTTCTAAAGAAACATTTTCGCTTCTCCCGATGAAAATGAAGAAACCCCCCATTGAGGAACGTGCGAAAAGTACTTGTTTGCAAACTGATTAAATTTGCAAAGCCGTGATTAGGGAGACGCAAACATCTCTCGTTCGGTAAACCGACTCGGTTAGCTCAAGAATTAGGTACGTTCTAACGCGCGCAAACACATTCCATTGGTTAACCGCTGAAATTGGACCGTTGAACTCAAGCCATATATGTTGGCGCTCGCCAATCATCGTAGACCCGCGGGGTCTGCAATCTATCCCTTGTCCTTTCTCCACCCCCTCTCTCTCTCTCTCTGTTCCCCCTCTCTAACGCTTGCACGCGCGCGCTCTCTAACCCTACTCCTCCTCTCCACGCCACTCTCTCGCTCTCCCTTTCGCTCTCTCTTTCTCTCTCTCTCTCTCTCTCTCTCTCTCTCTCT